GTAATCCCAGCATTTTGGGAGGCCAAGGTGGGTGGAACACAGGGTCAGTTTGAGAACAGCCTGGCCAACATGGTGAAACCCCATCTCTACTAAAAATACAAAAATTAGCCAGGTGTGGCAGCATATGCCTGTAGTCCCAGCTACTCGGGAGGCTAAGGCAGGAGAATTGCTTGAACCCAGGAGGCGGAGGTTGCAGTGAGCCAAGATCACACCACTGCATTCCAGCCTGGGCAACAGAGCAAGACTCTGTCACCAAAAAAAAAAAAAAATAGGTGAAAAGCTGATAAGAGCCAGTCGTAGTGGTGCACACCTATAGTCCTAGGTAGTAGAGAGGCTCCTGTGGGAATATAATTTGATCTCAGGAGTTTGAGGCAGCAATGTGCTATGATTGTACTTGTGAATAGCCATTGTACTCCAGCCTTGGCAACACAACAAGACTCTGTCACTTAAAAATACCCGAAAAACTAACGAGCCTTCATAACAAATGAAGCTAGGTGTGATGGCTGATGCCTGTAATTCTACCACTTTGGGAAGATCATTTGAGTCCAGGAGTTCAGATCAGTCTGGGAAACATGGTGAAACCTATCTCTACAAAAAATACAATAATTAGCTGGGCACGGTGGCACATGCACTACAGTCCCAGCTTCTTGGGAGGCTGAGGTGGGAGGATTGTTTGAGCCTGGAAGGTTGAGGCTACAGTGAGCCATGACCATGCCACTGCACTGCAGCCTAGGCAACAGAGCAAGACCTTGTCTAAACAAACAAACACAACAACCCACAGTCCACAATACCACTGTTAAAGTGGTGCTTAGTTCTATTAGTTTACTGATTACTTAAACTGATGGTAAAGGTGATCAAGGAAGGCATCCATGAAGTCATGTCCATTATCTATGCCAAGAACAATGTGTAGGGCTTCAAATTAGATGGGGCAATTCATAGGAACAACAATAAGAATATGTTAAAATAAAAAATAAAAAATAAAAGGCCAGGCGTGGTGGGTCATGCCTATAATCCAAACACTTTGGAGGCCAAGGTGGGTGGATCACCTGAGGTTGCGAGTTCAAGACCAGCCTGACCAACATGGTGAAACCCCATCTATAAAAAAATAAATAAATAAAAATAAAAATAAAAAATAAATTAAAATAAGCTGGGCACAGTGGTGTGTGCCTGTAGTTCCAGCTACTCCAGGGGAGGCTGAGGTGGGAAGATAGCTTAAGCCCAGGTGTGCCAAGCCAGCCTGGGCAACAAAGTGAGACCCCTCCTCATGTCAAAAAAAGAATATACTAAAATATAAAAAAGGATAAGTAGAAAAAATTACACAGGCCGGGCGCGGTGGCTCAAGCCTGTAATCTCAGCACTTTGGGAGGCCGAGGCGGGTGGATCACGAGGTCAAGAGATCGAGACCATCCTGGTCAACATGGTGAAACCCCATCTCTAC